AATTGATTTTAATTGATTTTAATTGATTTTAATTGATTTTAATTGATTTTAATTGATTTTAATTGATTTTAATTGATTTTAATTGATTTTAATTGATTTTAATTGATTTTAATTGATTTTAATTGATTTTAATTGATTTTAATAAATTTTAATAGATTTTAATAGATTTATGTACACTTTTATTTTGTTTATATTGTTTAATCAGTATGTATTAAATGGCACTCCTTTGTAATTTAAACAATCAGGATATTAACATCTTTCATTGTACGATAATAAATTATATTAATTGATAATTTCTTTTTGATTGATTTTTGTTGTAGGCTTTTCTTTTTAAAAATGTATTTATGTAATTTTTATAGTGTTTTGTAATTGAGTATTAACAAAATATATATATAAGTTAAGCTAAAAAAAACAAAAATAATAAATTGAGACTGACTTTGGGTGAAATATGGGCAAGTTATGCAACGATATGAAGCAAAAATTCCTTTTTTGTGACTTTGTCTAACCCAGTGTTTTTAAACGTTTTTGACGACGGAACCTTTTTGAAGAGCGAAATATTTGACGGAGCCTTAAACACATTTCTAAAAAAAGGTTCTTAAGCAAAATCGCAAAATTATATCCTTTCCTAGTGAATTCTAAAAAAAAATCCTACCTTTTGTGACGAACTTCCTCATGGAGCTGTTTCACTTTTTGTTATTAGGACTATTATTTTCTTTGCGGAGTCCCAGGGCACACTTTGAGAAACACTGGTCTAATCAATTGTCTTTCGCAAGCCTGAGTGGGTGGGTCTTTGTCTTTTGATTGGCTAAAGATTAGAACAGCTTTGTTTGAATAATTTTTTGTTAAAAATTCTCCGAATTTATTATGCCGAGTTGGCCTTATGAATTAAGGCAATATATTGTATATATTTCCAACTACTAGTATGTATTAGTATTGTATGACTAATTTTTCTGTTTTATCTTTGATGTATCTTATACATTGTTTATATGAAATAAATTTATCTATCTTCTTTCCTTTACCTCAAAGAAGCGCCATCTATAAAAAAAACTTACTTAATAAAATTACGCACCCGAGTGCTGATTTCCTTTGAGTTTCGTAATTTTCCTTCGAGAAAAATGATTACCTGTGATATTTAAAAACAGTGCATTAATTTTTTACGAAAGACGGAAATTTTGTTTTAATTTAAATGGACGAGGAAAGGTAGAGAGAGCGGAGTTTAAAGTGTGGTAATTTGTCATTTCGATTGTAGGATCTTTCATAATCGCCGGGGCGCTGAATAATTATAATTAAAATAAGAAAAGGAATTGCGGAAGTTTAATGAGCTAAAACTGAAAAGAGGAAAAGTATTTTAGCTAAAAAGAAATGTGGTTTTTTTTATTACTCAAGAAATTTCAACATGTTATTCCACAACTTCATCTAGAGGGTGTTATTGAAATATATGCAGGTATTACACATTATTTTGTCATTATATACTTATTTATTAAACTTAAATTAACTGTAATCTGTAAAAACAAAATGGATTATACAGGATATTTCAGAATAAAGTACTGTAAACTGGAAGACTTGTTTAATAAGAAAAGTTTTCATTTCACAGAGTGATAAAGTGAATTTCATAAATAAATATTTTTCTAAATATCTTCCCTTACTGTAAAGACTAACTTAAAAATATGTATATGTTAGCTAATCATCACGATTTGTTAAAACACTCTATTTCAATAAGAAGAATCAAGGGTTAAGAAAATAATTTTAATCTAAACTTTTTGAACACCCTATATTTTATAAAAATTAGGATTAATATTTATTCATCATATTTGTTACAAAAAAGAGACTCCTGTTTGATCTTTGTGGAAAATTTAATTTCCAAAGTTTTAAACTGTTTTTGTCCTATTCTAAAAAGTAATATAAACCAACTAAAATAAATCGTTGAGAATAAATGAATATTATTTTCTGTTTGTCAATAAAAGAATGAAGAATATGCAACCAACGGTACAAGAAAGAAGTAATATTGGTTGCCTAGATGTTAGTAATTTTTTTACCAAAGCACATTTTTATAAACAATCTAGTCAAAATGAGAAAAAATATTGTATGTAACACGTTACGAAATGCCTTTTTATGTAACTCGTTCATTTTTCGGAACCTCGCTCTGTTCGTCTTCATAATTGGTTTCATAAATAGCTAAAAAACTAAAAAAATCTCTAGATGAAGATAATAATAAAACCGAAACATTTTTTAAGCGAGGTATTATAAAGCCCATATACAAAAATGAATCTTGAAATGGTTAATTAGACCAATTTCTTTAATATTAAACTTTGTCAAAATTTATGAAAAAATTCTAAAAATTACTAAGAATTTGATATTCTATCTGACAAACAGTTATAATTCAGAGATGGCCAATCAATAGAAGAAGCAATATATAAGTTATTATAGCTGACCCTATCTCGCTTCGCTGTTTTTTTCTTTTAATTTTTATTAATCATTAATTTTTTATAATTTATATTAATTTTTATCAATTAATTGACAAGCAATGACATTTCGAGACATTTCGGGACTGTTCTATCTTCTTTATTTACTTGTACGTTTACTTATGATGTTCGCAGCACGCTACAGGGTGCTGCGTAACAATACAATTTTAATATCGTTAGGTTGAAGCACGCTTTCTGGATTTTATTCTTTTATTAAAAGGATATGTGTAAAAACCAATAGCGTGATTTATCACATTGCAAACGATTTCCAGATCTTCTGTATCTGTGGTGATGAAAACTGAAATCCCATTTAATTACCGAGTTTAGAATTTCCCTATCAAGCATAATCAACGAAATATAATTAAAACTTACCCGCTATCAATTTAATAACTTTCGCATAACACATTACTAGCCCTTATTAATTTGCGTGTAATCGTCGACAACCAATGAACCGACTATGTTAAATGATTCATATTCGGATGAAACATGGTGTTACTAAACTCGGAAATTAGTTACAGTTGAAAACGTAACCGATACTCGGTCTATCTGGATGAAAACGGTCGAATAGGATATTAGGGATTCCAGATTTTCAATTCGGATATATACCCATTTGTATTTGGTTATTTATTAAAACGTCGTTGAATAGAAATGGGATCTGTTAACCAAATGAACGTGGACAAATACGTTTGTGGACAAATACGTTTGTATACCTACTGTTATTTATTTATTATTTACTAGCTATTACCCGCGGCTTTGCTCGCACATAGTCGTGTTATATATAAAAAAATACATGACTTCCTTTTTTATTAATTTTTTATTAGTTTTATTGATTTTCATTAATTTTTTTCATTTTTTTATATTTATTCATATTTATTCATTTTTTTTTAATTTTTACTCATTTGTATTAATTTTTATTAATTTTTTATTAGTTTTATTGATTTTCATTAATTTTTTTCATTTTTTTATATTTATTCATATTTATTCATTTTTTTTTAATTTTTACTCATTTGTATTAATTTTTATTAATTTTTTATTAGTTTTATTGATTTTCTTTAATTTTTTTCATTTTTTTATATTTATTCATATTTATTCATTTTTTTAATTTTTACTCATTTGTATTAATTTTTATTAATTTTTATTAATTTAATTTTTATTAATTTTTATTAATTTATTTTTTATTAATTTTTATTAATTTTTATTAATTTTTATTAATTTTTATTAATTTTTATTAATTTTTATTAATTTAATTTTTATTAATTTTTATTAATTTTTATTAATTTTTATTAATTTTTATTAATTTTTATTAATTTTTATTAATTTTTATTAATTTTTATTAATTTTTATTAATTTTTATTAATTTTTATTAATTTTTATTAATTTTTATTAATTTTTATTAATTTTTATTAATTTTTATTAATTTTTATTAATTTTTATTAATTTTTATTAATTTTTATTAATTTTTATTAATTTTTATTAATTTTTATTAATTTTTATTAATTTTTATTAATTTTTATTAATTTTTATTAATTTTTATTAATTTTTATTAATTTTTATTAATTTTTAATAATTTTTAATTTTTAATAATTTTTAATAATTTTTAATAATTTTTAATAATTTTTAATAATTTTTAATAATTTTTAATAATTTTTAATAATTTTTAATAATTTTTAATAATTTTTAATAATAATTTTTAATAATTTTTAATAATTTTTAATAATTTTTATTTTTTTTATTAATTTTTATTAATTTTTAATAATTTTTATTAATTTTTAATAATTTTCACCCCCCGTTTTTTCCCTTAAAATGTGAAAATCCAAAAACCATGAAACACTTATTTATTTATTTATGATGAGAACCTACAATTCCAATTTTCAAGTTCCTACCTTTAAAAAAATCGATATTTCCAAATAAACTTTAACCCCCAGTTTCCCACCCTTAAAATGTGAAAATCCAAAAACCCTAAAACACATTATTATTAATTTGTACTCAGTAGCTGTAATTCCAATTTTCATGTTTCTAACTTCATAGAGAACAAAAAAAATCGATAGTCCCTTACACCCCCCGTTTCCCCCTCTTAAAATGTAAAAAATCCAAAAACCCTGAAACACGTCATTATTTATTTTTGCTCAGCAGCTGTAATTTAAATTTTCATGTTTCTAACTTTAAAGAACAAAGAGTTTCATTAAAAGCTCCCTCCCCCATTTCCCCCCTTTAAAGTTAAAATTTCCAAAAATCCATTCTTAGCGGATGCTTATGTTATAAAACAAACCTATGTTCCAAATTTCAGCTTTCTGGGCCTAGTAGTTTTGGCTGTACGCTGATAGGTCAGTCAGTCAGTCAGTCAGGACAAACAATTTTATATATATATATATATATATATATATATATATATATATATAGATTTGTTTTTTCAGGTTTTAATACTATTTATTATTTTTTTATTGTTATCTTGATATTTATGTTTATTTTTAAAAATCTATTAATGTTATATTTTGTCCTATCTTTGGGTGAGAAAAAATTTATTGAAAAGTAACTTACCGTGATTCTCAACTTGAAAATCCATTTCTGTTTGATAGTCAAGAACAGCCATATGACAATCCAGAAAAACAGGTGCATGATACCTCCGATGATGCACACGAGGGTGACGTCGTCCAAACTACCTCTATACACGACCGTGTAATCGTGTATGAGGGGCGCATTACAAATTCCGATGGAGAGCAGCACACAAAGGGCAGCGCAGTGGGTGAAGTAGCCCCATACGTTTCCGCCGCCGCCCTCCTCCTTCAGGGTGATTATCTTGCTTTCGCGTTGCTGGTTCAGGAAGGCGTTGAATCTGGAATGGAGGAAAAATCGTGGTGAAGTCGAGCAGGTAATAAATATACAGGGTTTAAAGCTGTAAAGCCAAAACTATTTTTTTATTTAAATAGTCTATTTAAAAAGTCTAGCATACAATGATGTCTGGGTTCGAATCCCAGGCTACGGCATATTCTTTTCAAATCTATAACCTTTAGGGTTCAGGGATGGTCTTAATAATTCGTAGTAGGATTTTTGAGATTTCTTTCTATATTTTAAAACTATTTTACAACATATTTCAGATATTTTTGATTTTTCGGATTTCGATTTTCGATCTAGGTAATATTAAATTGACAATTTTTAATTTAAAACTAATTTCACTAATTATGCAAGGTGATAACTTTGTTAACCCTTAAATCAACATTGTATCTCCCAAGATACATAATTTTCAAACACCCTAGATACTAGTCAATACTAATTTATCAAATAATAGTGCACTTCTTGTAACATTTTAAAATTCTTTTTAGTTCTTCCCACAATTTTCTACAAACTTTTTTTATATCATCGTGTACAAATCGTTGAAATTTATAGATTAAGAATCGATTACCAATTTCACTCAATACCTCTTAACTACAAATCCAATAATGACTTTTTCGTGTCAAACACATTACCATACTTTCAATTAATTGAACTGCCTGTCGGTGACATTTAAAAGACACGACTCCAATTTCGGAACCATTCTACCCTAGATAATCCCCCACTCAAGGAGTTCTGTATCGCGAAGCGTAAGGTTAAAGTAAAGGAATTCCCCCCGAGTTTAATCGATGAGGGCAATCTGATGAAAAAACCGCGTCTTAATCGACTTTCACTATAGCTGCGAGCTAGTGTCAAATCAGAAGTGGGATATGCCTTAATTGGAATTTATGCGTAATTTTTTTCTTTTATTTATCACGAATTTTAATTATCACTTATACTTTCGCTAATTTTATGAATATAAAAGTAAATTTCGATGCGAAATCAATTAAATTTCCCGACGAGTCGAAAATAGAAAAGTCCCCGGTTCAATATAAACTCGGATTTAGGAATTTCATCAAATCTGACGGCAGTATCGGCAAGCGAAAAAACTCTAGAAGGCAGGCGGACGGGACAAATTGCATGAGCAAATTTTCGCTCTGTCCGAATCACGGAAACGTCGGAAGTTTAATAAAATAAATTCCGGTGCGATTTCCATCCAACGGTTGCCGTACAAAAGAAAAAAATTAATAGAAACGATATACTCCGGGCACAGTGTGGTGTGGTTTGGGGACGTTTTCGATCTGATTTTGCATTTCAAATTGAAAATGCCATGATTGTTTTGTACCAGATTTGGAAATTCATGAAGTTAAGGGTGGGTTTAACGCCATGATTCTTTCAAATATTTATATACAGAGTATCTCTATGTAACCTAACAAAAGTTCTAAGCAATTTCCAGAGAGAAATTACCTAAAATTAAACTTTAAATAAAAAAAAATAACTACAATAAAATGTTGTCTATTATGGTTAACAATTTTAAATAAAATTACATTTAAGAAACAAATATGTTTGCCAAAAGCAAAAAAAACAACAAATTCAAAAGTTAGAGCTCAAGAACCAACTTTAAAAAAAGACATACAATAATTAAAACGTTTAACAACCTTGTAAATAATTTATCTTATGACTTTTGATGAATTTATAAATAAACTAACGTAACTAAATATGATAAGAAATTAAAATAATGTCATAAATGTAATATGCATGAACCCAAAAGAAAATAAATTCATTAACAGATGACACAGTCGGTCGTTTGCTTGGTACCAGACGAAAGACGTTTGCGCAAGATGGTATGCAAATATAGTGAAATTCTAATTTCTAACTTTTATCTTTTACCTTTTACAATCATAAATAATCATGTGCTTATTCGCACGTAAATCTAAATATATCAACGTTTAATGTTTTAACACCCTCCAAATTGGAAGAAGTTACCTGTTTAACTCATAGTTAAGACCAAACTATTTATAAGAAAAATATTAAACCATGAAATTTTATAATTAAATATAAATCAAAATAAAATTAAAAAAAAAATGTAATAAACATATATAAGGACTTTAGACACAGAGGTTATTTACTGAAACTTGTTTGCAACGCCAACGTACCGCTGAGACATGGCGTGTCGAGAAGGTACCGAACGGTGGTATTTTTGCAATCGCGTTAACGACATTCTATAACGTTGACGTAACGTCGACGTTGCATTGTATGAACCCTCTGACTAAATTGAAGTATTTCAACGCCGCCGACCGTTGCGTCGACGCGACTGCAAATGCGAATGTTATTTCATCTTGTAAATCTAAACAATTTATCAGGATATATGCATTAAATATGTTAAAATACTAATGGATATTTCTTACTAAGGTTAAGAAATATTTTATTAAACTCTGATTGCATGCTGCGTCATTTATAAAAGTATTTAAAATACCTATATCGTTGAGACATAAAAAAATGTTGTCCCTCTACTTTGGCCTGGTGTAACAACTGTTCTCCAGATAAAATTTTGCATCAGTGGGACTACGAAGTTTTCGTTAAACGTTAGGGCCTTTTTTATTATCGTGCAGGACCTATTTAAAAATGTATCTATACATTTGGCCTTTTTGTTAGTTATAAATTCCATTTTCAAGGTCCTGCAAGCAATCGTTAAAATAATGATGAATATTATTTTGTTCTCAGAATTAGCTTTGTATTTAGGCTCCACCTTCAGTTATAAATGTGATAATTGTGAACGCAATTTAACCCTTTTTAAGTTGGTACATAATGTTGGTACCCGGACTCAACGAATTGTTACACATGCGCAGGGACTTGAATGGGGGCCATGAAAAGATATAGACGTGTTTTATCGAAGGTTAATATAATTGAGATTAAAGTATAATAAGTGAACTGGATGTATTATTTAAAACTATTAACTCCAACCCCATTAATTCCAATAACTTATTTAAAACTATTAACTCCAACCCCATTAATTCCAATAACTTTTTTATATCCGCACTTCTAATACCCCGCATGCATCTTTATATTGTACATTTTTCTTTTAGTTTCTATATATAAAGATTTTTAAAGATAAAATTAAATTAAATCGTCATGGAATTCTTGATTATTGTTAATTTTTCAAAGTTCCGGACCTTGTTAGAAGTTACATATTTACCAGATTGTTAAGAAAAGTAATATCCAATAATATCGCAACCAATTTTCAAAACTTTTGCACTTTTTTTGAGAAAATTAGAGGAAAATTAAAAATTATTTTAATATAATTACAAAAAAATTTTTCCGTGCAAAATAAAAGGTTGCAAATTAGAATAGCTGTTCCAAAAACTTGTATGGTTTTTAGAAACTAATTTTTTGGCTAAAATAGGTATTTAAAACTCACTGTATATGGACCTGAATTTACCGAAAAGAATTTGAATGAAAGACAGTTTGTAGAAGAGCATGGGAAAGAAATGGAAAAGGAAAACGAGGAGGAAGAACAAGAAGAAAAAGAAGATGAAGAAGAAGCGCAAGATAGCAAATGGGAATAATTCAATGATTAATCAACTTTCCTTTTTTGAATAAGATACAGAAGATGATTCATAGGTAAAAATTAACAGATGTTAAATGAGAAGATTTAAAATACCATTATTTTGTTAGTTTTTCATTCTTCTATTAGAAACACAAATTTACAGTAATGTTTTCCCTTTACATTTAATTTGTTTAATTTTGGCCAAAAAAAAAAAATAGCTTTTAGAAACCATAGTGTTTATAGCACTTTTGCAATTTTTTTGTTCATGATATAAATAAAAACGCTGTTTTTTATTGTTTTTATTGGTTTTTTAATGTTTTTTTGATTGTTTTTTTTTTTTTGTTTTTGATTGTTTTTTTATTGTTTTTTATTGTTTTTTATTGTTTTTTATTGTTTTTTATTGTTTTTTATTGTTTTTTATTGTTTTTTATTGTTTTTTATTGTTTTTTTTTATTGTTTTTTATTGTTTTTTATTATTTTTTATTGTTTTTATTGTTTTTTTATCGTTTTTTACTGGTTTTTTATTATTTTTTATTGTTTTTTATTGTTTTTTTATTATTTTTTATTGTTTTAATTGTTTTTTTATTGTTTTTTATTTTTTTATTGGTTTTTTTATTGTTTTTTTATTGGTTTTTTAATGTTTTTTTTTATTGTTTTTTTTGTTTTTTTTTTATTGTTTTTATTGTTTTTTATTGTTTTTTATTGTTTTTTTAATGTTTTTTATTGTTTTTTTTTATCGTTTTTTATCGTTTTTTTTATTGTTTTTTTTATCGTTTTTTGTTTTTTAATGTTTTTTTAATGTTTTTTAATGTTTTTTTAATGTTTTTTAATGTTTTTTTAATGTTTTTTAATGTTTTTTTAATGTTTTTTAATGTTTTTTTTTAATGTTTTTTTAATGTTTTTTAATGTTTTTTAATGTGTTTTTTAATGTTTTTTAATGTTTTTTAATGTTTTTTTAATGTTTTTTAATGTTTTTTAATGTTTTTAATGTTTTTTAATGTTTTTTAATGTTTTTTAATGTTTTTTAATGTTTTTTAATGTTTTTTAATGTTTTTTAATGTTTTTAATGTTTTTTAATGTTTTTTAATGTTTTTTTAATGTTTTTTAATGTTTTTTAATGTTTTTTTAATGTTTTTTAATGTTTTTTAATGTTTTTTAATGTTTTTTAATGTTTTTTAATGTTTTTTAATGTTTTTTAATGTTTTTTAATGTTTTTTAATGTTTTTTAATGTTTTTTAATGTTTTTTAATGTTTTTTAATGTTTTTTAATGTTTTTTAATGTTTTTTAATGTTTTTTAATGTTTTTTAATGTTTTTTAATGTTTTTTAATGTTTTTTAATGTTTTTTTAATGTTTTTTTTAATGTTTTTTAATGTTTTTTAATGTTTTTTAATGTTTTTTAATGTTTTTTAATGTTTTTTAATGTTTTTTTAATGTTTTTTTAATGTTTTTAATGTTTTTTAATGTTTTTTAATGTTT